TACACACTACAGAGCGCCTTGTGAGTCTTCTGTTTTCAGGAGTCGCTTGGTGGAAAGTTCTGATCCTCTGCATTATTTTCTCCGATATGGATTCTGACGTAACAGGACACTTACAAATATTAATGTTCAGAACTACATTTCAGATTGCACTCCTTGTACCCCAATTATTAACAAACTAGCAAGGGTTGCTTGTTTGGGAATAACGGGAGCAACAGCAATAAGAAACACATCCATCAACAGTGGCAGTGGGATCCCCAGTCCCCAGTTAGCTCTAGACTAAGAAGGGCATGAGTTATAGCAATGAGTGAATGTAATGAGCTCAGTTCGCGTGATTGTGATGACGTTATTGTGTTGTGAGGGTAGTAACCCACTTATTGAGAACGTGTAGCTGTTAATGAGTTGCACTGAATGAAAATTAATAACTTCAATAATCACGCTCACAACCAGTCTATATCTTTGACTCTTATCGAATCGGTGTGATTTTTATGATTACTGTCAACTTGTCCAATATATTATAATATATTCATTTTTGGGAAAAAAAGTTTTTGGCTTTCTACTATTCCATATTGATACAAAAACAAATGTGGGAATCTTCCAAAGAAAGAAAGGAAGTAATCAATTTGAAAATTAGTAACTCTATACATGGATGTGTAGATCATGCAAAGAAGCAACTTTCAAACAAAAACTGGAAGAAAGCCCTTCTGAAACTGCTACTTTCGAATAAAAATTGAATTATATGAAAGAAAAAAATTCTTTCGGAACAAATACTTTTATATGAACGCTGAATCATACAGAAGATACTTTTCTCTACTCAGTTTGTATTCCAAACATTCGTTCTCGAATGAAATCAGATATCATTCACAAGAGTTCTACTTTAAATGAATGGTAACAAATTGCACTTACATGGAACACTGTCATCCTCACTGGTAGACATCAATGTTTCGCCGTAAGACACTTGCCTTAGGGCTCTTCAGAAGGGCTTTCTTCCAGTTCGTGTCTGAAAGTTGCTTCTTTGCATGATCTACACATCCATGTATAGAGTTACTAATTTTCAAATTGATCACTTCCTTCCTTTCTTTGAAAAATTCCCAATTTTTTTGTTTTGTATCAATATGGAGTAGTAGAAAGCCAAAAACTTCCTTTCCCAAAAATTAATCACTCCTAAAAATATAACCCCTTCAATATATTCATGAAATTAAACATTTTTGCGATCCGTGGAACACTGAAAAATGTATGAAAAAATATTGATATTCAATTACTATAAAACAATATTAACTGCATATACTGAAATATTTCAACTATCTCGTAGTTGATACAACTAAGTAAATGAATAGATGCGATGAAGAGTTATGGTATTAGGACATGTTCCAGCAGTTTCTTAATTTTTATAACATTTAGCCTTCAGACAGTTCGTTCAAATGACTGAATTTTCAATTAATGGAGATTTTGATTCTCTCATTGGAAACAAACCACATCCTTGAAATATAAATATTCAAAATTGTATTTGATAATGAATCAAATTTTTTCCCTGAAAGCCTCTACAATTTTAAAGTTATTAACCGATAGAATACAAAACATTGGTTATCCTTTTTTTGCACAAGATTCTTGAAGATTCAGAAAGGTTTCTGTTCGTTTATGAAAGAAGGCTAGTTACCGGAAAACTCATTTCCTCGATATGATTTTCAAAAAATATTCATCAGTAGTATTTCATAATCTGATTACGATTTGTGTATTCGCATGGTTTCTTCATGATATAGTTGTTATATTATTATTATTTCATTTCTTTTGATTATTTTCCGGATGTTTTTACAGTTTATACAATATTTTATGTCTCCTTTGATTGTGTCAAACGTAATTGTTAATTCGCTTACAACTAATAACATTAGTCCCATTCGCGCGTGGTTATTATTGCCATAATTGACATGTTTATTAGATTCTTCCGCTTCTATTCACGAGGAATTAACATGTCAAAACCCTCGACGATTCTGATGTTGTGATTTCTAGCCATCCGAAAACTAGTAACTACGGGAAAATTGCGGAAACAATGCATTTAGTTACGTAATCTAGATTAGACCTTGAGTTCTTGGTATTACGTAGTTACATAATCAAAATTCAATTTTTTCTTGTATTCTTCCTACTGTAATTTCAGGTCATTATGTATAATCTTGAATTTGTTTTGATATATATCCAACAAATGTTTTTGATCTCTAATCTTCTTCTTGAAATCGTGTCGAAGTAAAATTGATTGGTCTGTTTCGGTTTTATCCAGGGAAGTCAGAACCAAAAACCTTTTATATTATGAGTGTAACTTATATTTCTTATTTCAAAAATCTCCAGCTCCCGTTGCTGATTGTAGCCACTTGGCCAATTTTCAACTATTCAATTTTAATGTTTAATACATCAGTTGAAACGATCGTTATTGTTTTGTTTTGGCAACCCTGGAACTCGATCGTATCTAGAGTACGAAAGTAAGTTGAGTCGACGACATCTTCCCTTACGAAGTCGCCATCTTTGTGGTCGATAGAACACACAATCCACGAATATCAAATATAAACGAGGCTTTTCAGAGCCGAGGGCTTGCAAAGCTAAACTTCAACAGCTTCTGTGTTTCACTGTAGCTTTCACTGCAAGGCAAATAGTTCAAATAACAAAGCATTGGTGATCCAAAACCAGATAACCCTATTTTGACCCACCGTGGTCTCGTCAGTGGTACTAGGATGAACCACGTATGCACTACTTGACTCAACTGTCCCGGAAGACCAAACCTGAGTAAGTAGATACACCATCTATAGGGACGAGATTCGTCCTCAGTCTTGCATTGCAGTTTCTACTGCAACTTCTACTGGTTTCAACTACAGCACGAAGTCTCTCTCATCTTATTTGAAATATTTTTACCAGTGTCTATCAGAAGTTACTGTTTTAGTTGAGAAAATTGTTGTTTTCTTCTTGAAAACTTTTCACTTAAAACGGTTTTGTCAATTACTAGTAATTTTTTAACGACTTTGTCATACTCTTCCAAAACGGAATGCCTCGCGTGTGATGTTTGAAATTTCACTTTGTGACTAACATGTCCCAAAACCAATATTTTCTAGTGCAATCCTTCAAATGAAAATTTCCATAATTAATTTCAAAATTTTTAAATATTAAAATTTGTCATTTCGCATTTCGGTTTCCATCCATCATTATATGTGGGTTCAGGTAATGTTATTATTATCGTGTCATCATTGGTGACTCCGGCCTTATACGCACGTGCGGAGGTCAACTGAAGCATAAAAAAACCGCATAAACAGCATCCTTCAATACTCCTTAGACAATATCGCACACCAGAGGGCAAGGAGATTTTTTCAGAAACAAAAATAAGGTTGGTGTCATCCATTATTAATTCTCGGAATTGTTTCTTCCTTTTTGATATTCAACATCCGGTTTACAACGAAACATAAAATAAAAATGTAAACAGAATGATTGTAGATCCTGAACAAAAAGCAAACTTGAAATGCATTTTATGCAAACGATTCAATATGATAACGTGAGAAAAATATAACACTCAACTCATCTTTCTCATAGATCTGGTTAACCAGTGAGCGATAAAACATTTCATTATACCTTATACGCAGAACGTGATTTCAAAAAAAACACCAAAATAATCGAGAATGCTTTCTGCAGTAGCCAATGTAATAGACAATTGTGTTCAAATTTTCTGGAGTCCTTGAATATACATCTTTTTGCTTATATTCATTTAAGAAATCATTCGAAAAATCCATCAAGAATAATAAGGAGAAATATCAGAAATTCAGTTTTCAAATATTTCTACCCAGAACAAAATTTTCATCACATATAAAAACGTTTTGAATATAGAGTAGCACCTCGACTGCTCGTCACCTATACGGGGCAAGAAAACAGTTGGAACGCTGAAAAAGTCGGATAATCAGCGGAGAAGGAATTAAGTCATGTATTGGGATATGTATTTACATATAAAAGATGTATGCATTATGTAAGCCAAAATAAACGAACCAAAGCCAAATAAATGATAAAAATGTGTTTGTGTTATGAGTAAAATATGAAAACATGTTCAAATCATGCTAAAACAACTTAAAATAATCAGGAATGTCTTTCTGTTTCAATTTCTGGAACCCTGATTTGGGTGCTTCATGCCATTTCTCTAGAAGCACATGACTGTTAGTATTGATTGTTGTTTCAAGTAATTTAGGGCAGTCTCGAAGTCAACCTGATCTTTTCGTCTTCCTCTTTTTCTTCTTCACCTAACTCCACTTCTTCAGCACTAGCTTGTTGCACGGCAAGGTCAATGATCTCTTCATCTCTTCATTTGTATCCCCATCAGTTAACTATTTCCCAACTTCTGAAGACTGGATATTACTTTAAATAGATTGCAGATCACGGACTAATTGCGCAGTGTCTGACTCAGGAGTGTCTGGAATTTCTATTGTCTCGATTAGACTTGGATAAGCTTTCTTCCATTTTTGTAAAATGGTTCACTTGACTTCTTCCCAAGTTTCTCAAACTAATTGCTTCGAAAAGATCGCAATCCTATTCTGTTTTCTACAACAGTGCTTCGACATTATTGTTGGCGGATTATCAGATAGAGCGATTGGCAGATTTTAAGATAAGTCTTAGGTTGAAAGCAGAAAGACGCTGAGGAATTATTCCGACGACAGCGAAAATACGCTCTTCTTCAAACATTGGAGGGGATAAACCCATAGTTTCAGACAATTTTATAGGTTAGTTGACTGTTAATACATTCTGGGATCAAAAGTTGAGGTAGAAGTAATCTGCAGTAACCAATAATAAAGTATTCGTAATCTCTATACATTGTCGAATCGTATTTTTTTCTATTTTCTCTAAATCGAACCTTGCGAGTGATATTGATTCATAGAAAATTATAATTTTTTGATTTTCTCAACTTTCATATCAAATGATTTTAACTTCGTTCATTTAACAAGTTTTAATATTTTTCAAGACTGAACATTCCATTTTTTTTTCAGGTGGGAGACAAAACGTCATTATACGTATTAGATTGCCTATTTTCTGTTCTGATCGTAGGATCATTAGTTGTCTTCGTATGGCGAGGAGTGTGGTTGATGCTGGATATCATACTTTTCCCAGACAATTTTACAATATCATCATGGGGTAGTTTGGTGAGTATAGTAAATAGTATTTGGTTCCATTTGGAGATATTTTATCAAAATATTTACCAAATTTCAAAGCAGTGTGTCTAATCAAATTTAGCAACTTTATTCAGTAATAACCCATTACTTCTTACATATATTACACTTTTCAATCATTTCACTATTCCACTAATTACCAGCAATCGATGCGAATGGCTGCGATAAGTGGTAGTACATGAATGGGCAGCAGCGTAACAGCGTCACCATCATCCTGATTTTGTTTCGGAAATTTTCAATAAGGATATTTTTAATCAATCAATGATTTACCTCGTAGTATTCCATCAAACTTATAAAATTCTAGGTGAATGGAGGGAGTGTCAGCAAAGCTGTTTTTAAACTTAACCTTCGAGAGAAAAAAAAATTAAATTCGAAATGGATGAAAGAAAATTACAGTACATACATACATTTTCAAAAAATAATTACTAGTTGGTCACCAAATCTTTTGTGTAAACGAATGCGCCACGGTCATCATGAGGAAAGTGAACTACTCAAATAAATGCTTTTTGAGTCTTTTTTTAAAGTTTTTCAACGTGTAGGATCTAAATCCACAGGGCAGGAGATTGTAGTCTTTAGCTGCGTTGAATGAGAAGCTTCGAGTAAATGCAGAAGACCAGTGTTCAGGAATAACCAGCACTGACCTGTTTCTAGTGGAAAAGCTGTTAATATTTAAAAAATGATTCAATTTTTTCATTGAATAATGTGGCAGTCCGGTGTTCAAGACATTGTTGGTGATTGTGAGTAGGTGCAGTGGTAGTATTTTCGAATGCCAAAAGAAAAACGAAGGCAACTGTTTTGGATTCATTGAAGACGGAAGGAATCAGATTGAAGTAACGCAGGGCCATGAATGCTATCGCAATAGGTATGAAACTTTCGAAATGATTAGTGTCTCAAATAATTTTAGTTTGAGTTGTTTGGTAAGTCCCGATTTGGAAACAGTTGCCTTGAGACGTCAAAAGACATTTGGGTAAATGGCTAACATATTTTGTAAATCACAGTTCAGAATCAAGCCACAGGCCTAAGTTCTTTGCTACAGTTACAAAAGGCAGAACGTCACCATTTATATGAATATGAAGACTAATTTCAGCAATATCTCTCAATCTTTTCGATCCAAAGATCCTTATTGCCGACTTTTTAGAGTTTGAGTTCATTTTTTTTTATTGAACTTTGAACATTTTATTAAAACAACGATGAAAATAAAATAAAAACAACAATAAAAATTAATTGGCGCTCCGGGGCGACTTCATTGATTCCAGATAATAATAAACAAAAAGAACTACAAACCATTGCAAACAACAGGATTTGCCAATACAAAAAAAAGAACAACATACTATGTTACTAGGACGTCAGGCTCTTAGTAACAAATTAATTTGATGTCGTTCGTCCAAAACGAATTTTTTAATTAATTTTTTTAACTTTTTAAAATGTTCTGCCTGTCGAATGGACTCCGAAAGTATATTATAGGCTCGACTAGCTGAATGCTAGTGTATGTATTAATCAAAAAGTTAGCGAAACTACAAATTTGAAACGTGTTGATATGAAAAAAATAAGATTGTTTCCTTCATGACTAAAAATTTGTAGGATTTGAGCGAGTTCAACTTCCTACTGAATTTCTAAAATTGGATTCTAGATTAATTTTTTTAAGGACGAAATACAAGCACTACAGGAAAATCCTTAAGGCGCTCTAAGAGGGATGCCTGTGCAAAAGTAGCGATTCACATTGGATTTAAATCGCTGGAGATTAAATCCATTTGGAAAAACGTTTTCAAGAAGTTTATCCCACATAAATGCAGTTCTTCAAATGAAAGAGTTCTTGCACAGGGAAGTATCTATTGAACTGAAACAAAATCTCCAACTTTTCTCCGATCCAATCAGGCAGATGGCTCTTTTCTGGATATAATCCAGCAGCTTCAGGGTATGCTTAGGGGCAGAGCTCCATGCATGAGAACAATACTCCAAAAATGGTCTGATCTGAGATTTAAAAAGCATCAAAAGTCGATGATGTGTGTACAGTTTTCTGGTTCTGAACAGTGTTTCAAGCTTTTGAGAAGCGGCTTTTCTAATTCCAACATGATTGTGCCAAGACTATCGATGTCCATTTTATCAACCAACACTCTGGGGAACACCAACGTTGATGGCACTTGCAGGGAAATTTCATTCGGGAAGCTAAAGGCCAGCAAACATTCATCCCACACACGGTCCAAGGCCTTAGAAATGTCAAGCGCTATAGCTCTTGACTCTCCATTTTTTCGATTGCGTTTTTCCAAATATGGGTGAAAAACGATAGTTGATGAAACGCCTGTTGATCTTTGTTTTCGAAAGCCATATTGATGATCGCCCAAGATGTTGAAGTCTTCCAAATATTTAAGGATATGGTGGTTTACGGCTTTCTCTATGATTTTTGGTATCACTGGAAGTGAAGCGACTGGTCTATAGTTATTTGTAAGATTTTTTTTGCCTTTTCTTGAATAGTCTGAACGCGAGCAATCTTCCAGCAGAAAGCAAAAAGCTCTTTCTTATAAGACAGGTTGAAAAATCTGAAAAATACAGGTGCGAGTTCATTTGAACCCTTTTTAAGTACGATGACAAGCACTTTATCAGGAATAGACGCCTTGTTGATACTGAGCTGTTTCAGAATTTGCCTGACTAGACGTTGCCGAAAAGTTATTTTCGGCATAGTGGATTCTAGTGTAAAAGTAGTGGGTGGTGCCTTTCCCAGAAAATCGACTGTCGAATGTGATGCAAATTGTTTAGTCAGTGGATTTGCTTTTTCTATAGCTGTTGTTGCAATAGAACCATTCGCTTGTGTTACTGGTGGAATTGTAGATTTTGTAAAGTTTCGATTGGCAGGATCTAGATCCGTTGGACTTGACAAGAAGTTTGTTTATCTCTAATTCTCTGATTGTAAAGCTCTTAGCTTTCATTTATCCTAAGTTTGCAGCTGTTGCGAGCATTAACAAATCTAGTTTGGTTTTCAGCACTGGTATTTTGTTCCACTACCGGTAGGTGGAATTTTTGAAGGCGATGAAAGCTTTCTCGCAATTTTTGTTGAGCCAAAGTTTGTTGTTAGAAGTTCGTTTCATTGAAAAAAGAATATATGCAATAACTTCCGCGACTGCAGAAGCACAAATAGATCGATTTTTGGAGCTAAAACAAACATCTAGCTAGGAGACATTTTGGAAATGGTCTTGAAGATCCTCCCACTTAGCAGATCTGCAATGCCAAATTCTGCGCGGCTGAGATTGTTCCCCAATATTCATTGGTGATTAACTCAACACTGAAATGAGTTTGTGATCAGAAAATCCCGATGGAGACCTTACGGTAACTATGTAAATTTCTAGATTGGTTGTTAGATATAGATTCAGAAGACTAGCATATTCTCCATCACGGTCAGGAATCGTGGTTAGCGCATTTTTGATCTGAGTAAGTCCGCGGCTTGTTGCAAAAGCCTTAGCTCCGTGATCTTATTCATCGTTGATATTTGAAAATTTGAGCGATTTGATATTGTGGACATTGAAGTCACCGAATATGGACATTGAAGTCACTAAATATGGAAATTTCGGCACTGGGATGATTGATTTGCAGAAAGTCACTGATGTTTGCAAGTGAAGAGAATAGTGCCCTATATTGTGTATCGCTTGGTGGTCGATAACCGCAGCATATGAATTTAGTGATCTTCTATGATATTATTTTGAACCACATACCATCAAAGTTTTGGAGTTCCAGTATTTCGTCTCGTTGACAGGAGATATCGCTTCTGACAAAAAGAGATATTCCAAAGTTGCATCTTTTACCATGCTATTTCCCTGTGAACTGATGTTGACTGTGAGAAATAGTGGCTTTCGAATAACTTCTGCAGGATAATGCCCTCGAATCAGCCCCCACCCGGAGTTCAGATTGGGGAGTTCTATTTTACCTTCGGAGTATTTTGACCTTAGGAGCGCCATCATGCACTTTTTCCTTATATTCCCACTACTGAAACAGGAAACAGCTGCACAGCAACGACCAGCATCTACCATCAATGGAAATCTGATGAAGATTATAATACATGCTCAACAATTTGAAAAAATGTTCTCGTCGAATATGATACTACTGAACGAGGAATGAGGAACAGAAAACAAAACTTGTAGCAATGCTCAAAGAGCAATTTCCGAATGCTAATAAGCAAACATTATTGTTACCAACAATTCAGAAATGAAAAAAAAAATGTAATTCTAATGATTTATACTCGAACAATGAAGTTAATATTTTTTTACTAAATAGAAATTATAATCTATAACAATTTTATAACTTCACCGCGTCTATTGTAAATGATAGTTACTGGAAGATTGAAAATTAGGTTTCCATTACCATTCACTTTTCCAGCTCTACAACTCAAAAATTGTTGTTTGGAAAGTATCTGCTGGAAGAAAGTTTTTTGTAGCAATTTCAATTCCCTACAAAATCTGCACACTTAGTTTTTCTAAAAAAAAATTATTTCCGATAAATCGTAAAAAAAATTCTCATGTTATTCATATGTGAAATCGAATTTTCGAATGAGCGAAACCTCTAATTAACTTAGAATTTTTTTTTCAACGGAATTTTTTTTTCTATAAATTATCAGATTTTTAGGTAGCACCAAGAAAAAAAAGTCGTTTAAGAATGGAACACTATAATATAGATATATTAATTTTCCAGGAATATTTAAATTTATTATGGGTTTTCATTGATAAATTAACATTTTTGAAAGTTGTTTATTATTTTCATTTTCGGATACATTAGTAATTACTGTGATTGATTTTAAGACCGAGACAGTAGGATCATGGTATGAGGAATAGGATACATATGTTTTCGAATGAAGATTGGAAAGATGTCTAGAGAAAACTGTATCGATAGTTGTTCCATGTCTTGTGATAGGCTCATTTCGGTTAATTTCAGTACTAATTTATCTTGTAGAAAGTTTACCAAGAGTTTTCCATCTTTGGACGCGAAAT